ATTTCAACCTAGCGAGGAATTTCGGATCTCCAACGTCGATTGGCAATAGGAGAATGCGTAAGTACTGGTCAAAGCAGTTAGTCAGGGAGCATACATATATTCTTGTACATTTCAGGTATAGTTTTCTATGGAACGGAAGATTCCCATTACTATGATGTTAAATGAATAAAATCTACTTGTAACTTAATTACATTGTTAATATCCGTTGAATAAAGATCTTAGAAGATAAGGTAGTGTTTCGAAAGGTCACATAAGAGCAGTTTGATCTAGTGCTAAATTGAAACGTAACACGAAGAAGTGTTGAGGGTGCAGTGAATAAATTTAAAATTCATGTTCCATTGGAAATCCGTACTGACAAAGCAGCACAAATGCCACTGCTTGGTAATAAAGTTAGATGTTCACACTGCAGCACAAGGAAAGAACCTCACAGAACAAGATGGCACTGTTCTTCATGTAATGTTGGACTTTGCCTTCAAGATATGAGAAACTGTTTTGCTACCTTTCATAAGAAATGAAGTTATTGTAATTATTTCATGAACAATGTTGAGCTTTATTTTTTGAGAATAAATTATTTTCAGTCAGCAATTTTTTTGTAGCTCCGGTGGTTCCGTGGTGGAACCACCTGTTTACCAAAAAATTGAAGGTGAAAAATTTTTTATCGTGAATTTTCCAGTTCAAACATTGATTATTATCACAATCATTCACAAAAAAATTACATAATCTTAAAAAAATTATTTGGGCCACAAAGGGTTGAAGCAAAATAAGACGTTCTGGGAAGAGTTTATTGATGAAAACAGATGCCTGTGGGATGTAAAATCAAAAGTTTACGCGAATAAAATAAAAAGAAATTTAAGTTACGATATTTTACTTGCAAAATTCAAAGAGTTGTTCCCAAACGAATTTCAAGAATTAATGAAAAAGAAAATAAATAATGTAAGAACTTCCTTCAGACGTGACTTTGGATGAAACATGACTGTATTGCATGCCGTACGATTTTCTTTACAATTTGCAGTTCAATATGCAGTACGAAAAATCGTAACGTGTGTAGGTGGCTTTAAACGATATAAAATCGTAACTGCCGTAGCAATAAGCTCCACACGTTCCAAGTTGTCTACAACCCCACCCCAGACACGACCGTTGATACGATATTTTATGGAAGCTCCGTACAGGTGCGTATTCACCAAAAAAGCGAGCACAAGCGAAAAAGAGCGAACAAGAGTGAACGAGGATTTT